CACCCGATCGGATATGCCCAGAAAGTGACTTTCTGGGAAATTTCCTAAGATACCCGATCGGGTATCCTATATACTCGATCGGGTATCAGACCCTGCAGCTCCCAAAAGCCTATAAATACACCCCTTTCCTTCACAATAAAATCATCAATTCCTATACACTACTAAGCTCAGTTTAGTTAAGCAATTTCTTTATATTTTTATCATGTTTAGTCTCCAAATGAGGAGCTGAACTCTCCCATCTTGGTTTTGCTACTTTGAAGCTTAATGAATTTGTAAGTTGTGAGTTATTCTCTTTAATTTTCTTCCTTGAATATTAATTCTTCCTTTAAATACTATTTCTATATCAATGTTGGGGAGTGTTACTAAGATGACAATTAGTTAACATCTTGACATTAGTTATAGTAATAGTTATTTCTTCCTCTATGTTAATGTTGGGGAGTGTTACTAAGATGACAATTAGTTAACATCTTGATATTAACTATAGTAGGATTCCTCTTCTTTAATATTCTTCCTTGAGTATTAATTATTACTAGAATCGATCGACGAATACGCTTGTTAATCGTTCGCTCGTTTCACGGTAGTAACTTGGGTTATTAATGCATGCGTTTCATGGTTAATAAACCAAGGGGAATTAATTATGTTGATTAAACCAATAAACCGTTTGTGTTGAGGTTATCAATCTCAATCGTTTTCATCTTGATTTTATTGCTACTATCGGGTTAATATACGGCACGTGTTCTATATTAACTCGGTAGTAAGTTTTATTAATGAACGCGTCTCGTTATTAATAACTACCCTCGATGAACTGAATATACTCCTCGATTGAGTATTCGAGAGGAAGATAGTTAAAGATATAACCGGGTTCGACGAACATTTCATTAAGTGGATAATAGCAAAGCCAAGTCTTCATCTGTATTAAGTAAACCACATAAGTCGTTCATCTTTGTGTTTAATTAATTAAACCAAGTCAAACTAAATCCCCCTTTTTTGTTACTAGTTCTATAAAAAGAAAAATATTTCTTTCCCTGTGGATACGAACCATACTACACTATACTACGTATTAGTGTTGTATTGATTATTATTTTGAGTGCATACACGACAAAGTGCACGTCAACATTTGTTTTGTTTAACTCATTCTACACATCTTAGTTAACCTTCCCTGGTTCACTTTGGTTGCAGGAAAAAGTAAAACGAAGGTTATTATAATTGCAGGTATGTCTGTAACATGTAACTTTTCTTTCCATTCCACTTCATGTTTAATATATATGTTGTTGAAGTTTTTGCATCGTCTATTTTTTGGTAAAGCATATCTGCCACCACTTGTATGATATGATTTTTAAAAAATGAATCTTTTATGTTTTTTGTGTGAATCCAGTTTTAGGAGCTGTTATATTGATCCTCACTTTGAGTTTGGTGGTGTTCGTTCTTCGGAGTCAGAAGAAGGGATGTTGTTGGGGTTCTTCCCAATTCTTTCCAGATAACACTACCTCTGATGATCTCTCCTTGAAACAAGACCTTGAGCATGATAGTAAATACTTTGGGATTCATGTCTTTTCTTACTCTGAGCTTGAAGAAGCTACAAACAGTTTTGATTCTTCCAAAGAACTTGGAGATGGAGGGTTTGGGACTGTTTATTATGGTAAGACATCCTCTCACTAAAAATTTTCCTTGTTAGAGTTCTGCTCCGAAAGTTAAAAATAGAATGATGGGTGAACTAGCTAAGATATTCCATTTCAATTTTTAGTACGGTTTGGCCTGAGTGCCATATCACTTAGGTGATCCCAACTGAATTCTATAATTGTATTAGAGCAGATTCTGGCCCACTTTGTTTGTCTAGTTTTCCATGCGAAGGAAGTGTCAGAATCTCATATTGGAAAACTAAAGAGAGAATGATAGGTTAATTAAACCTTTAATTAAACTGGCTTGCAGATTGAATTCAATCTTTTATTTTGATTTAACCCAAATGCCTTAGGACCCAGTTGAGAAACCCCACCTCAATCTTGAATTCAATCAGTTTTCTTCTGCTACTAACTTTGTGAACTCTTGTGTGTATGTACCACATAACTAGGCAAACTTCGGGATGGAAGGGAAGTCGCAGTGAAGCGTTTATATGAGCACAACAACAAGAGAATGGAGCAGTTCAGAAATGAGATTGAGATTCTGACCTGCCTTAGACACCCTAATCTTGTAACCCTTTATGGCTGCACATCAAGACTCAGCCGTGAACTCCTCGTTTATGAATACATCCCTAATGGAACAGTTGCTGATCACCTCCACGGAGAGAGAGTAAAAGATGGATCACTCACCTGGCCCATCCGCATGAGTATTGCGGTGGAAGCAGCTGGTGCACTGGCTTACCTCCACGCTTCTGGCATAATACACCGAGATGTGAAGACTTCAAACATTCTTCTCGATGAAAACTTTTGTGTCAAAGTTGCTGATTTTGGGCTTTCAAGACATTTTCCCAACAATGTTTCACATGTCTCCACTGCACCTCAAGGAACACCTGGGTATGTCGACCCTGAGTACCATGAGTTTTACCAACTCACTGATAAAAGTGATGTTTACAGTTTCGGAGTTGTCCTTATTGAGCTCATATCATCGATGCCTGCTGTGGATATAAGTCGGCATAGGCATGAGATCAACTTGTCAAACTTAGCCATGAACAGGATAATCCGGCATGCGTTTAATGAGTTGATTGATCCATTTCTAAGGTTTGAGACAGATGCTGAAATTTTGAGGATGACTACTTCTGTGGCCGAGCTTGCTTTTCGATGTTTGCAACCTGAGAAGGATATGCGGCCTACCATGGATGATATTCTGGAAACATTGAAGGAAATCCAAGGTATTGAGTTGAAAAATAAGTTGGAACTAGAGACCAGTAATAATAATAATAATAATAATAATAATAATAATAATAATAATAATAATAATAATAATAATAATAATAATAATAATAATAATAATAATAATAATAATAATAATAATAATACATCAAGAATTACAAAAGTCCCTTCTTCACATGAACCGGAAGATGTAGTCTTGCTGCAGAGGTTAAAATTGCCAGTTTCCCCTATTTCCGTGACTGCTAATTGGAATAGTAGCTCTACTATAAATAGTAACAGTGAGTGTTCTTTTTCAGAAAATTGCCTTAAATAGGACTAAAAACGTTTGTATATTCCAAAATAGGATTATCATGTTTTTATTCTCTAAATAAGAGTAATTACCGTCATGTTTTGGCATTACCAGATTTTAAACATGGCAATATTTTTCAAGCTTGGCAGTAATTACTCCTATTTAGAGAATAAAACATGGCAATCGTATTTTGAAATTCTCAAACATCTGTACTCCTATTTCTCAAACACCTGGCTTGTATGATCAAGCTGATGGCACTTATATGCCGATAAATCACTCGCCCACTCACTTCATACTTTAAAAAGTGGTCAGGTTGTTTTGTGCTTCATTTGTAGTATGTATTGTTGCTTTATACAGGTTATGTAGAATTGGATTCAAGAACAATTGTATAGTGTTACAAAATACAAATGTATATGTATAGGGAGGGCCTACCCTAATAAATCCCACAAGGTAAGTCAATCATACAAGACTGGACTAAATACAAACAATACAATACAGGTTTAAGTGTTGTTTATTGGTTGTAGAGTTAGAAGACATGAAATGTAGAGACAGAAGCAGCCCGTTTTATCACTTCTATTCTAAATTCAGTATGCATGACTGCAGAAACAACAATTTATTCCTTTCAGGATCTTTGTTTTTGTAGTATTAAACTTAGTTTAATTACATTTTAAATCCTTAAATTTTAATTAGGGAGTTCCCCCTACCAATAAGTTATAAGCGAGTGTTTGGATCTAGGGGCCGAGCCAGAGCACTGGGCCGGACTGGACTGGTACAAAGGATATTTTTTGAAAAAAATTTTACACGAAATTTTTTACCTTAAAAATTAAGTCATTTTAAAATATTGGGGTGGGCCATGGCCTAGGTTGGCCCACCCCTAGCTCCACCCATGTTTGGATCTATGGAGTACTTAAAATGAACAGAAGCAAATATTTGAGTATTTGTGTAAAATTGTAGAAGTATTTCTAACTATTTCTAATTGCTCCCTAGATGTAATTTTTAAGAAGTTGGAGGAGACCAACGTATAAAAAATTGATGCTTCTAAATGTTTTTTTATATAATCAAAACGGCTTTTCATTCATATAGAGCAAACATGCAAGACAAAATCCAGACAGTTATTACAGATCCAATCGCAAGCTCTCAGAATAGATTTAGAGTCAGCCACCCACACAAAGCAACCTGACTCCAAGACACAAAACGGGCAAGAAGAAGCCTAAAATGATCGAAAATGAAGTACTGGTTGTACTGCCTATCAAAAGTTCTTCAAAAATCAAAATCCTCCAATCGTACCTGCTCGAATTGAAATAAAAATAAGTACTATGAAAGCAAAAATAATGTGAAAATAAAATTTTTTCCCAAATTGCTTCTTCGCACGGAGGTGGTTCCGGAGGAGGGCGAACTGCTGTAGTATGGCAGAAGAGAATTTCAACCCTTGGAAAATTGGTCTGAAGACTCTGAACCCTTATTTGCGCTCACCAATTTGATCTCGTCAATTTGCTGCTTGAGATTTGGCATTGAAATCCATGTTCGAGGTGTAGAAGAAAACTCTATCACGTTGTCTTGTGTTTCTTCGCTCACAAAAACCAAAACCGCACGAACGAAGCTCGATCTGCGGAACAAAATAACCCTAACTAGTGTAGGGAAGACGGCCGCTCCTCAAAAGAATCGATAGCGGAGAAGAAAACCCTAGCGGCGGAAATTCCGCCCTAGAGAGAGGAGGTCTCGATTTTATGAAGTCTAGGAGATTAAATCCCTAGTATTCAACCACTTTTTTTTCCCGAACACCACAATTGACATTTCACTTTTTAAAAAGTTCAATTGAGCAATTTCGTATAATCATATGTAAACAAATGGTTTTTTGATCACTTGCACATGCTTCTAAATGTTAAAATGGTATTTATTAAATGTAAACATAAATACATAAATGAAAATATAAATATAAACATAATTTCCAGACCAATTTATAGTATAACTAGTATGTGTACCCGTGCACCGCACGGTAAGATACATGTATAATGTTTTTCTCAAATTTATAGGGACGTCGATTGTATATGGATTCGTCAATCAAAGTTTAAAAGAGAACTCAATCGACTATCTATACAGATGTTAAATGAGTTGCATCTTCTTAGATCGTAAGAAAGTGAGAACATGACTTCGTAAGAAAGATGGCAACACACTACATATATAATTTGGATCAAATGAGAACATGATCTAAGAAGAAAATTGGGAATGAGTTTGGAATGTTAGATTTCAGAGTTCCTCATTATGTAAAATAGAAATGTGCACCACTATAAATAAAAAAATGAGGTGACATCTTGTTTAACCTTTTCTGCCCATTTAAAGCACACATTGTTTTAATTATATGTGTGCACCCCCTTTGATTCATGATGTGCATTATTACAGATAATTCTTATTTCAAGGTAATTATTTTTAAGATCCTTTTTCATGTGTATTTTTTTCATTGACCAACAAGGTAGCCTTTAAAACCCGCAACATTTTGTTGGAAAAGAAGTATGAGAGGAATATTTTTTATATTTTAAGAGGCTAAAATTTTTATTTTTTTCTTTTGAGTATTTGCAATTTTTGTACTACAATCAAGCGTAATTTTTTACCTATATTTATACACAACATTGTGAAACATAAATACACACACATATATAATACTGCTAACTTATATATATTACACATAAATTTTTTCAAGATTATTCTTATTTCAGGGTAATTATTTTCAAGATCTTTTTTCATGTGTATTTTTTTTTACATTGACCAGCGGGGCAACCTTTAAAACAAGCAAGATTTTGTTGGAAAAGAAGTATGAGAGGAATATTTTTATTTTAAGAGACTAAAATTTGCTATTTATTTTTAACCTTTGAGTATTTGCAATTTTGTACTACAATCAAGTGCAAATTTTTACCTATATCTATACACAACATTGTGACGCATGAACACACACACATAATACTGCTAACTTATACGGAGTATATTACACATAATTTTTTTCAAGATTATTCTTATTTCAGGGTAATTATTTTTTAGATCTTTTTTCATGTGTATTTTTTTTACATTGACCAGTGGGACGACCTTTAAAACCCGCAAGATTTTGTTGGAAAAAAGGTATGAGAGGAATATTTTTTAATTTTAAGAGGCTAAAATTTGTTATTTGTTTTTTATTTTTGAGTGTTTGGAATTTTGTACTAATGTGAAGTGCAATTTTTTTACCTATACACAACATTGTGACAAATACACACACACAATACTCTTAACTTATATATTTACACACAAATTTTTTCAAGATCATTCTTACTTAACGGTAATTTTCAAGATTTCTTTTCAAGTGTATTTTTTATTGACCAGCAGGGCAACCTTTAAAACCCATAAAATTTTGTTGGGAAAAAAGTATGAGGAATATTTTTAATTTTAAGAGACTAAAATTATTTAATTATTTTTTGTTTTGAGTATTTGCAATTTTTTTACTACTGTCTAGTGGAAATTTTTACCTATACACAACATTGTGACACATAAACACACACACCCTTATAATACTCCTAACTTATATATATTACACATAAATTGAGTGGGAGTTTGGAAGTTGAATAGCTTTTGTTTTATGTTGTTGCCACATGTCATTTTATCTACAAAAGATGGTGCCACATGTCAACTATTTCTCTAAAGAGATCCCCATGGCTTTGCTTTATTATATTACTAGTTTGTGTACCCGTGCATCGCACGGTAAAGTACATTCTAAAGTGTTTGCTCTAGACGTTAGTCTTAGGAGACATAACCGACACATCTAATAGGTCTGATCATGGGAGGACCTTTCTAACCTATCTCATAAGTCCCGCATTTAATGCTCATTTGTGTCCACATCTCTTCAGTTTAATTCCTACCACTGCCAGATAGTTATCCATTTGTAGATGGCTTGCCACGTAAGTCCTAGAGTGAGTCCAACATTGATGGAATCCCGCTCAAGCTCATGACTTGTTGAACAGGTCAGCCTGGATATGGGCGTCCCCACACGGACCATGATCCCCCCTGTTAGGCCCAATTTATTCTATTTATTAATTCCGAGTAATGGGCTGTGTTTATTAATCTCGAGTAATGCGCTTTAATAGTTATCCATAATTGGGGTATTGTTATCCCGAGTATCAATTAGTATGATATTAATTAATGTATGTGTACATATCATCATCATCATTATTACAATCATCATCATCATCATCATCATCATCATCATCATTATCATTAGTATTATTACAATCATCATCATCATCATCATCATCATAAATATTATCATAATAATTATTATCTGAATGTTTCCGATCTGACCTCCGAACTCCGATTTATATAATTGCAACACTTTCAGCTTGCAGATGAGGTTGTCCTTTATGTTACTCCCTCTGTCTCATTTTATCTGTCTTACTTTCCTTTTTGGGTTGTCTCAAAATAAGTGTCACATTTTTTCTAGAAGAAATATGTGATCTACTGCATTTCACTTTATTATACTCAAATCTCTAGTTTCTACAACTTTTACTATTTCAAACATTTTATTAATAATTGTGTCAAACTAAAATATGACAAATAAAATGGAACAAAGGCAGTATAATACATAGTATAATATATACACGGAGTTTTGGAATGTGAATAGACTTTCCTTCACCTTTTTAAATGCTTATAAATGATGTGCACATATGATTTAGTATGTACGTTTATTGAGAAGCTTAAAATGGTTTCATTTATGTTTATATGCATGCATTTTTAGAAGTTGAATAGGTTTTCCTTTTATTTTCTTTTACATGCATATATAAATATAATGTTGTCTCTTATCATATTTATGTACATAATAACTATAATAACTACTATAAAAACATGGAGTGAAATTTAATATGGGGATGCCACTTGGCAAATTTTCCCATTAAGAGTTTTGCCACATGTCAAAAAATTCTCCAAAGCATTCCATAAGGGTTTGCTTTATTATATTATATAGATATATAGATTTCAAGCCTTGACCCAGAGCACTAAGTTTCTAATTGGTCAGTTATGAATATGAACATATGATTATAAATATGACTATTAATATCAGTATTCATCAGTATTAATATTTATAGCAATCATTTCATTTTCATTTACCTCAGTGCCGCAAAGGCTCCCACCTACGGTGGTAGGGGGGTCGGATGTACGCAATCTTACCCCTGTACTAAAGCACAGAGAGGCTGTTTCCGGATGACCCATAGTGAAAATCGCGTCCAAAATTGCATGGATTGACTACTGGTTCATAACAAAGAAGAGCAGACAGTTTAATGAGTCATTTTGCTTTATTCCATCATATTATCAAACCAAAAAATAATGAATCTTTGGCTCTATTGCAAATGATGGAAAGATTAATATTAATAGCAATATAAATATAATATGAAGGTGATATAGAGCTTTTGTTTTATTAAAAGTATATAAATGTGAAAAAATAATCATTTATTATTTCTTCAGAATATTGTGTTTACATCATATTTTTAGTACTAATAATCCATACCTAACCAATAATGTACATTTTTGATAATTTACAGTAATTTTCAACAACAATTCATCTACATACTGTACTCTGATTCTTTATTTCAT